AGAGAGAGAGAGAGAGAGAGAGAGAGAGAGAGAGAGAGAGAGAGAGAGAGAGAGAGAGAGAGAGTCGTAATGAATGAGCTTTTTAGATCTTTTATATAATAATCCTCACATCTTTTCAAACGTGGGACACACACAGCTCAAACACACTGCAGCTACATGATCATTTGCTTTTGACAACTCTGCTATAATCCCAACACACCACAGCTTTCAAGCTTTTTTTCCCTCTTTGACGCGGGTCACACACCACATAATGTGCTCCATAGCCTCTCACTCGTGTACTAGCAGATGTTTTAGTACCTGAGCAATCAGATAAATTGTACGATTAAACACGTCTCGACTAAAACATGAGCGTTAACATGGTGGGGACATGAATCTGGATCCATGTTCTTCATGTGGCTGAGCAGCAGAAAGATGTTTAACCTGCCTTCGTTTTAGCTTGCTGCAGTTAATGCTACTGTAAGCTCAAATTTAAAAGTTCAACATGTGAGTTCAAAGAATAAAATGAGCCAAAATCAAATGTTGAAACACTAACCTGAAGGTAAAATGCATTTTAAGGGAAAAAACAGACTGAATTTTAATCTATCGAGGTGGAAAAGCTCATTGTTTGTCTCCTGTTTGARTCACTGTTCAGCTTTGCTTTCTGCTCACTTGAATGTTTAACAAAAAGAACTGCTTAAGAATATTTTTTTAATTTGTCCGTATAAAACTGGGGAGTAAAACTCATAAAGCCTATAGTATACACTCTATAACCAACAGTATGACAACTTTTCTGCAGATACAGTATTATCCTTTCATTGTGACAGTAATTTTACCAACTTTTTCTCAACACAGATTGGACTCTGTTCCAAACTTTTGATAAAGTTGTGCCAAGCTGCAGCCAAAACAGTTATTGCTTCATAAAGAGTATTATTTTCCTGCTGCTCTCCAGCTAATGGAAGTTTTCTTGATATGCGTGTGTGTAAGAATTTTATTTWAAAAAAAAAGCTTAATCAAAGTAACAAGTGAATGTATAACCTATTGTTGGTGCAAAAGTGTAGAAAAGATTATCGCCCTTTGCCTTATTTTACACTGCCTATCAAATGGTGTATTTCAGGAAGACATTTGTCACGTGGTGACTTTTGGCTGATGAGTGTCTACTAATAAACTGTCTTTTAGCATTTTTACTGTGTTTGCATTCTTTATCCCCCTGTCCCCTCAAACACACACAAACACACACACACACACACGCAGACATTTAGTTTGATTTTTGTCCAGTGTGGTTTCTGAGCTTTGAAGAATCAAGTTTCAAGTTTCAAGTTGAAAATCAGTGGAACAATAAAGGATTWGTTTTTTTATAAGCACATTCTTATAGTGGTGTATAATGGTGTCCCGATACCAGCATCTTTACAAGTACGAGTACTTGTACAAATTGCCACAATACTCTGGACTGATACCAGTACCAGTATTGATACCCGTAAATGGACTGAACTTATATAGTGCTTTTAAGTCCCTCAGTCCCCCAGACCCCAAAGTGCTTTACACTACAGACATTCACCCATTCACACACTGATGATGGTAAGCTACACTGTAGCCACAGCTGCCCTGGGGCACACTGACAGAAGCGAGGCTGCCATGCACCGGCGCCATCGGACCCTCTGACCWCCATCAGTATGAGGTATCAGTGTATGTGGCATCAATACTACAGTTTATATTTCATGCAAAAAAATTGTCAGTTCCATTGTTTAAGAAATGTWTACAAGTTGAAAGAAAATCTTATTGGTTATTTTTATTTATTTTAAAGTTTTGCGTCAGCGTATATCATGCTGTATATTTGATTTGATCCCGTCTGTAGGCCGATAAGGAAGGAGAAACACTTTGTCTGTTTGTGTCTCCTTCCTGTCCCCCAAACCCAGTCTGTTGAGGCAGATGGCCGCCTGTCATTAGCCTGGTTTTTCTGGAGGTTTCTTCCTGTTAAAATGGAGATTTTTCCTTTCTGACATTTGTTGTGACTTGGAGCTACATAAACAAACTGAACTGAATTGTTCTAAATATCATAAATGTGTTTTTAAAATCCCTGTGTAATGTTTAGGTTCTTACTCGGTAAATACTTATCTGTTGTCTGTAATGGCAAATACACAAACCAAAGTATTTGTACTTGTATTCAATTAGAGAAAAACTGGAATTGGGATGCCTCTATAGATTTATGCACTGTAAAAAAGGAAATGTTGGATTTTCTTAACCATGTTATGTTACCTGGTTCCACTTAACTGTTGAGTAAATTCAAAGCAACATAGCAGTTTTTTAACCAAAGAACATGAGCATTGCTTTGAATTTACTCAGCTCAGTTAAGTGGAACCAGGTAACATAACATGGTTAAGTAAATCCAACATTTCATTTTTTACCGTATAGAAATGAAAGAATTAAGAAGTAGAATCATGATAAATTCATGATTTCATTTTGTAAAGCCTGTAAAATCACACTCCAATTTTATTTCTTCAAATGAAACCTGTTATTGGAAAACTAAAGTTTGTTCAAAGGCTAACCGATTCTATAAAACAATAAGAAAACAAGTATTGTAGATTATTCATTTCTTAATACACTTTAAAGCATCCAGTATGTAATGATGATCATCATTTTTTTTACAGATTTTAGTTTTCTAATTACAAACAAGCAAACGGTGGCAGCATGATGGCTCAGCTGGTAGAGCTGYTGCTTCTCAGCAAGAAGGTTGCTGCATCGAATCCTGGAGTTTTCATGTTATCTCTTTTTATGCGTGGGTTTTGCCCGGTTACTCAGGCTTTTCCTCACAGACCCAAAACATGCATGTTAAATTAATTGGTAACTCTATATTGCCCCTATATATGTGAGWGAGAGTGAATGGTTGTTTGCCTCGTTTGTCTCTATGTGTCCCTGTGATGGCCTGTGACCTGTCCCAGGTGTACCCCACCCCTCTCTCTGTGACTGCTGGATACAGGGACCAGTGCCTCCCATGACTCAGAAAGGAGGAAGCAGGTATGAATAATGAATGCAACATACCAAAAAACAATGATACAAAATTAGTCAATCATAATTTGCCTATTTTATCCTGGTGTGCACAAAATTTAAGTTAGGAAAAACCTGGTATGTACCTGGTAAATACAAGAGAAGTACCATACTGGRCTTTTTCGACAGATTTTGAACTAAAAGACAGTCATGTTTTCCTGAGGCTTTAAGATGATGCTCTAAAAAGTGCAGTAATTAAAAACACCAGAACAGTATTAGCCAGTAAATAAATCCATAAGGGTGTTTCTCAGCTACATACATACAAATATAAAACCCAATTCTTGAAAAAGTCTTGTCCGTGACTGACCAATTTGGTCCAGTCTGAGTTACAAAGTCCTAACCACGGCCCTAAGCAAATATTTCTGCCAGTGTTCTGGTTAATATTCACATGAACGCAGACTAAGAAGTGTTAAAACCAGCTCTGATTCATTTCTGAGTCACAAAGGGATCCGAGGTTTATTATATTCCCTGAAGGTAAGTAAACTCACAATATCTGACAAAAGCACGTTTTATATCTGAAGGTAAAACATTTCATTTTGAAATGTGAGCGCTTTCCACACTGATGTTTTTATTCTTCTGTCACGGAGCTGTTGGATGTCTGCTCTGATGGAGAGAATTTGTTTCTTTCTGTGATTAGATCAGAGGAGGTATCTTATAGTGTCTGAAAACGCATTTATGTGTTTCTCACTCGCTCCTGTTGTTAGATTTAAAGAAAAAAGAAAAGGGAGGGAAAAAAAGCTTCCCAGAACAGCTGTGTGAGCTGTCTCACAAAATGACATTGTTTCAACAAAACAAACAGCGGCCTTACGGCTTTTGAAGCTGCGTGGGCCACTTCCTGAGTGCTCGTCATGAGGTCATGTGTGCAGGCTGCAGAATCTAAGCAGCACAAATTGATCACTCCGTACAGTTAGAAAACATGATGAAACCCCCAAGGCTGATCTCTGCAGCAGTTTTTGTTGTTATGAGAGCACTTCGGTGGTGGTGGTGGAGGGGGGTTTAAAACTGCAGAGAAAACAAAAGCCATCCATTTACCTCATTAGTGTGTGTGAAATATCTTGACGTGCTTTGAAGAGAGCGCGCTTGTGCAGCGAAATCAGCTCAAGGGCCCAAAGCAGACATGTGAGAGAGACAACTAGACATTTTCCCGAAGTGATAAACAGCCTTTCCCCTTTGGTTGGCAGGACTGTGGAAATAGACTTTGCTCCATTTTTCAAGTATTATTATTATTATTATTGTAAGTTCCTCCGTTAATCTTCATGTTTGCCTCGGAGCCAGCATTAGCACGGAGGATGACAGGTTCCTGTTGACTCACTGACGACAAAGCTCTGTCACACAAAGCAGAACACAGAATAAATAAATCACAAACACTCCTCAGCTGCTTGCTCACACACACAGGCAGCATCAGCAGTCTGTTCAAGAAATAAAACCAATTCAAGGAGGT